ACTCCTGTTAATTGGAAAAAAAAATGTTAAGAAAAACCAAAATAAATGTGTGTGCATGTTTGATTGTGTATAAAACTATTACTAAATAATTTCAAATGTAAACTCAGACTAGTTTATCTGTAGCATCCTCCTTTGTCATTTGAACTTATTCCATTGCTCATTAAGGTATTTTATACCCCAGGAACTCAAAAATCACGAGTCAAGCCCCAAAATGTCATGAGATCCGCATAAAAATCATAGCCATTAAGGGCTAGAATTTGTTTTTTAAATAAAACCTGATGCTTCATTTGCACTGCAAAGCTTAGCTGCTAGTATAGTTATATCAGTGAGGAATGTACAAAACCCATCCCTTATGGTGACATCCCCATTTTGGCAAAAGACTTATGTAGATATAGGTATACCAGTATACAAGTCCCTTTGCTGGCATGTTCCATCTGGGAACTAGCTGAACACTTTTGCCAGTATGAGCTCCTTCACTGGAGCTGTCTATCAGGATAGCGCCAACGGACTCGAAATATAGGCTATCCCTGAGATCCTTACATAATCAGTCTGAAGTTAAGTTATGCAAACCCACCAGTTATATGTAGTATCATAAAGCAGACCACCCCACTATAATGGAATTAACCTCTTCCTGACACCAGTCTCATCCATGGGAGCCGTGATTTATCGTGCATCTTCCATTGGTCCTGCTCTGTCACGGAGCCTCCAAGTACGTGCAAACAAACTCAGGGTAAAAGTGATAACAAGCGGCCCCAGCGTGGCTGCAACAGATACTGTTTCCAGATCTCATCTACTTAACTCTGGATAATCTGGAAGAAATCCCTTGCTTCATTGGGCCCCTGTTTTGTTCCACAACACAGTTTTCCACTCGAATTCTGAAATCGTGTTTCTTTCGGAACGGTGCAGAACTGCCTGGGTTTGTCCTCCAGGGTTATCCAGTACTGGCAAGAAGCTTGTCCCCAGTGTGGTAAGTCAGGGACAGAAGCAGACTGCTGGAACAAGGATTTTGTGGAAAATATTTTAACTATCTGACCTGAAGAAGGGCCTAACAGACTAAAATATTGTCTGTGTCCCCTTCCATTGCTCTCCTAATGCCTGACCAGTAAGTCTGCCATGCTTGGAACCGCTGTGGCCCTCAGTGGGTTTGCTGCATGCAGAAGACTGAATGAGTTGGGTCCCTCATTACTAAACACTGCAATAAGTATAGTTCAAATGGGGGCTGGGGAGAGCATCATTATACTTTGCAGATGTGTCTCTCTCTGGCATGAGTTTCTGTCCCCAGCCCCACTTCCCTTGAACAGCTGCTCTACTGTTTGATGAACTATCATGTGAACTTCCACATTGGTAGACTGCGGGTTCAGATCTCGAGAGAGAGCTTGCTGATGGGGAAGCCAATAATCTTCCAGTCCCTCTGTAATCGTGGCAGGGGGCGGTTAGTGGAATCCTGTTGACTCCCGGTTGCTATCACTAGCAGAAGTTGGTGATGGGGATGCAGCGCAGCAGTTGAGGAAGCAGACAGTTATGGAAAAGTTGGCTTTGTCTTCAGCAATGGACTCCAGAAGCACTTGTCTGAGACCCTGAATAACTCTGGTATATGGTGTTATTGGGCCACATCTACACAAGATGCTGACTGCACAGTAGCTCCTTACTACTGTGCAGTAGTGTTGCAAGGCACAAAGTGTGACGTGACGCTATGCACAGTAGTAATGAATTGCTGCACAGTCAGAGTCCCCTAAAAGGCATTCAGCAATGCTACTGCACAATAACTCCGGTTACTGCACAGTCATTTAGTGCTTGTGTAGACACGACCTCTTAGTACCAGGCTTTTCTACCACCAGTAAGGCCACAGGGTGACACTGGGCTCGACCTCCTGAAGACTTTTTCTGCACAACACAACACAAATGTTGTTCCACTATATCAGTAAAGTTAAAGTGTTTGAAGCCAACACCTCTCCTTTCCTGCCCCATGTGGCACAGTCACATTGGCATGAATAGGCTGTATACTAACTATTCTCACATGGTGAAGAGAATAGTTATTTGAGTGCAGATCATCTTTATATAAATATACCTGCAAGCACACTAGAGCTTTTACCAGCATAATTATTTTGGTAAAGAATCACACCTCTAACCCATATGAGTTATGCCAATATTTTTTTAACTAAGCCAAGTTCAGATGCAGGTGGTTTTACTGTGAACACTTCCATTTTAATTTGGAAGTGTAGTGAAAGATGAGGGTGTGTTTTTCTATTATCAGTGCTTCAAACCCACAATGCTTTAAGGTAAGTGACAGTTTCATAAATAAAATTGTTCCTTTTAAATTGCTGAAGCTTTTACAGTAAGCCTTGTACCCACCAATGAGATCCATTAGTGTCTGATTAAGTGGTAATTAGTGGCAAGAGTCACAGTCATTAGTGTTTTTAGCTGCTTGCTTGTAAATCATAATGACAGTCGAGCCCTGCAGGAGCCCATTGCCAATATTTCAGGCAGGAAAAGGCGACTTCCAGAGGGTAGCTGTGGAGGAGTCTTATTCAACAGCTTCCTTCCAGGGCTAGGATGGAGCAAGCCAGTTGCAATGAACAATTCACTTCACAAATTTTTGCTTGCGAATCAATCACGAGTCTATCTGTTATCACTCACTACTTATTAAAACATTGGTGCAGACAACCATGCTTGTTCTTTATATGCGATTGGTTGCCTTTGTCAGATGGTATTACCTAAATGCTATGACAAAAAAAGAGTGAAAGTGTTATTGCTCACTGAAGAAATGAAGAGGACCTGAACTATTGCACTGAATTTAACAGGTATATCTATCCTGGCTCTGCTTGCAGGGGTGACTTGCGTCGGCACGTAACTGACCTTCGTTAGAACCGAATGCTGAATAGCAGCAGCGATGTCTACGCAGCATGGCTATGTGCCACACAGGGATAACTTGAACTAGATGCGAACTTACTAACTCACACACTAGAGTGACTCCCGTGCGAGGCAGAGTGCCGGGCAGAGATACACAAGCTGTCCCTGCGTGTGCTAGCTCCAGAAGCAGTGGAGCCATGCTGTTGCATTGCTATGCCTGGGCTGATTTGCCTGGTTTCTCAGCAGGGCTAATTCAGCAGGTGCAGCACTTCATTAATACTTCTTCTGAGTCCAGAACTAGTGTGTGCAGAGCAAGCTTGGCTCTCTCTGCATAGCACTGCCATGTGCCCTATAGGCAGTATCTCCCTGCATTAAAATACGGGTTTTGTGGTGGATTGACTTGGACCTCCCAAAAGGAAAATGCTCATTGCCAGAGAATCAGCTCAAATATCTGGTTGTTTGTGGATCCTGAGCCAAAATATCCCCTCTTGGTGGATTTAGATCTCAAGCTGATTATGTGGAAATGAAAGGTGATTTCCAGATTTGCAGATTTTTAAGGCAAGAGAGGACCTTTTCATCATTGAGACTGGACTCCTGTCTATCACAGGTCACGGTGTTTCACTAGTCACCACTGTATGAAACCCACAGACTTGTGCTTGACTGAAGCTCATCATCCAAAAATATCTACTTTTGTTCTAAAGACATCAATTGTTAGAGGATCTGTTACTTCCATTAGCAGTCTGCCGTGATAGTTAATCTTCACTGTTGCACATTTGTATTTCTGGTTTCAATTTGTCTGGCTTCAGCTTCTAGCTATGTGATTTTCTTATATCTTTTCCTGCTGAATTAAAAAGCCCTTTTTGCACCTAGTATTTTCATCCAATGAACATATTTATAGGCTGTAATTAAGTCACCTCTCAATCCTTTTACTTAACTCATCAGAGTGAGCTCTTTAAGTGTCTGACTGTAAGGAACTTCCTGGCCCTCATAATTTTGAGGCTCTTTTCTGTATCCTCTCCAATTTTTGGACAGCCTTTTAAAATGGTGGGTGCTAGAATGATATACAGTTTTCCAGAGTCAGTCCCACAAGAGGCATATACAGAGGTAAACTCCTCTCCTTACTCCTATTCATCAAATTACTACTTACAGATCCAAAAATATAACCAGCTTTTTTAGCCACACCATCAGGCTAGAGGCTGATACAATGCTGCTTGTCCACTACGACCCCAGAGCCATTTTCAGAGGTACTGATTTCCAAGAAACAGCCCCCCATCATTCTGTATGTATGACTTGCATTCCTTGTTGCTAGATATAAGTCCTCATATTGAGCTGTATTCAAAATGTATTTTGTATGAATAGGCACAGTTTATGAAACCAGTGCAGATCACCTTTGTGTGACTGTCCTGCCTTCATCATTACTTCCCTCTGTCAGTCTTAGTGTCTGGAAATGTAAGCAGTAGTGCTTTTGTATTCACTTCCAGATCACCGACAAAAATATTGAAGAGCCATGTACAGGTCCATTAGAATTGGACCCACTCATCGTGGTTCCCCAAGGACACCTACTTTTACTTATCCCTCAATAAAGGCAAATGGAAAACCAGTGCTTTTATAGTGTGGAGAGAGTAATGCAATTCTCTGTCGCCCTTCCTACCCATCATCAACTTTCCTGGATGAAGCAACCGTGCTTAGTCTTTGCAATAGGTCAGTTTTACTTATGGTTTTACATCATTCTGTGTTCTTTTGAATTCCCCCTGCCAACTCTGCAAACACAGGTTCCCTTTTGACTTGGATTCGCCTTCCCCTAATAAACACCTAAGTGAGCACTAAATTCTTGAAATGGCTGGTGCAATATGGGAACCTCAGGGCACTTGACAGAGCCCTCCCAGCCAGTAGAGGTGGAAGTGGGGAAGCAACTTGGTTTAAATGGAGGTGTTAACATGTGGGTTTGTTTGGATTGATTCTTGCTACAGTCTTCTCCATAATTACAACTGCACGACTTCTTTGAGTCGTAGGCAAGAAGAGATTTGGACTTGGCATAGGCCAGCTATAAAGGCTTGATCCTGTTTCTGCTGTTGCCGATGGAAGCTTTACCCCTCCTTTCATTGGGAGCTGACTTTATATGACCAGTTTGCATCTCTGTGCTTCATTTAGAGATTCTGCCTAATCAGGTGTACTGACTGCGATGGTCCATTAAAGGCAATGAAGCTGCTCCCAATAACACCTGTTGGGGATCTGACCCTGGAGGTAATATAGCAGATGAAATCTCATCCTTTTCATGGTGATGCAGATCCTGGAAGAGACAGAGCATCTGTTACTTACAAGAACTGTCTTCCTGTCTCAATCTGGGAAATGTAAGTGCCTAAACCCAGTGCTGGGGTCAGCAGTTCTGAGCAGGTTTTTTTTATAAAGCTGTCTGCCAAAAGCACAATTTGGCACACACAAATGATTAGTTTGTGTTTCTCCAAAGCCACAGGAATAATGTCATTTTATTGTATTGGAGGCTCTTTCACAACAAGAGGAGAGGATGTTTTAAAACAAGGAGTAGCTCAGCACAGAATTTTAACCCTCACAATACAAGAGCACTGCAGTTAGCTGTGGGCAGGGCCTGATTGAAACACAAGGCTAACTATTGTAAAAACAGAAGGGCAAATAAATGCCTCTGAAGGCCAGGGATTAACAAAAATGTTTTGGATCAGAAGGGATCTCAGGTAGAGCCTTTGTGATTCCTGCCTGTTTCCTGCTTATAGCTTTGCACCGCTACGATCACCCCCACCAGAGCATGGGCCTTGTTACACCTTACACTGCGAGATGCACAAATGTTGACGGCTGTTAGTGCTAGACTGGGGTTTGGAGTAGTCCAACCCTTTGTTTAGAAACCTCTGGTTGTACTCCACCTGCACAGCTGTGACTTGCTACTAGAGGCCTGGTGAGCAGGTCCTGGATTAGGAGCTGTAGCTGTGTGTTGCCACAAAAGGACTGGTGAACCAGGGCAGGCGTCTATCCCTGCTGTACAGGCGGGGGTGTGAGAGATCCTGGGATACTGGAGCAGCACATCTGGGGGAGTGGCCACACCTTCAACTTAGGCAGCACATCTGGGGGAGTGGCCACACCTTCATGGCACAGAAGCTGGGTAGTGCCGATTAGAGATAACACCGCCCTGGAGTGGTATCATTTTAAGCCACATAATCAGTCTTTCAAATTACTTTAAGGTGTTAATGTGAGGACAGTCCATGGGTTAGGAGCTCCAGGAGCCAGCCAAAACTATTGTGTAGCAAGGCCCTATATCTTGTGGGGTAGCTTTTACTTTTCCAGAAAACTGTACAAAACTGAAATCTTGTAGTTGTGGGTCTTTTACTGAGGTGTGTTACCAGAGCTGAGAGCGGCTGCAATATTGCATATCCCTACATTCAATCTAGTTCTAATCAATTTTGGCTCAAGATTGAATGAACACCAACCACATGACCAAAAAAATTAATAAAAAGTCACCAGAAAGTGTTCAGAAAAAATGGTAAGTGTTGACCTAGCCATAGTATGGCAAGACTGCCATTACACATGAAATCCTGGTCCCCCAGATGGCAGGAGGAGTTCTGCCATTGATTTTAGCGGGCCAGGGTATCACACAAGGGATTCTCTTGGAAAAAGCTGGGGTGAGGAAGAAAGAAGCTCATTGAGTGTCTAACGCACTGGTTGGGAAGATGAATGGAAACATTAAACTGGGAAAGAGAAAGACCATAGATTTTTCTGAAGGGCAGACGTGGTACTGAGAAGAAGAGGCTGGGAAAGGCAGAGGGTTTTATTGTGAATGGGAGGAATAAGCATTTGCTTGGCCCATGTATAGCAGACGTTTGAAAAGAGGCCATTTTGAGCCTTAAACCCAGCCTTGGTAGACTGTCTACTTTAATCTCTGAATTACGTTAATAATTACAGTGACATTATATTTGTGAACTGCTGTATCTTCCTGATCGGTTCTCACCCTTCAGATCTCTAGGGAGGGTGAGTTGAGAGCTAGTTGGACCTCAGGGCATAATTATATACACATTATGTATCAGGTTTAACAATAACGCAGTCACCCTGATCTGTATGACTGATACATGCCCTTACTGCTAGAGTAGCTGTTAAGTACCCAAAAATGCAATAGCTGAAACAACTGCTGGTCACTTTGCACAAAGGGATGAAAGTGTGCAGGAGACAGATCGGTGTAACAGCTGCTGAAAAGCAAAACCAGAAAAGTCACAAACAGAATGGGTACAGCTAGTTCAGAGATAGGATCTATAGGCTTTCTAATGCAGTAAGAGGCCCCTATTCATAGATTCATAGATTCATAGATTAAGGGTCGGAAGGGACCTAGTAGATCTTCTAGCCCGACCCCCCGCCAGGGCGGGAGAACAACAAAAACCCCAAAAAGAGAAATGGGACTCAAACGAGTCCAGCTAGGTGGGCA